ATCAGTGACGCTCGCTGAAGTCTGAAAACTCCATAAGAGGCTGACTGCGGCGCCGCGCTGCTGTGTCATGTGTTCATAACGTGTGGTCTTCCCGTGTGTGCTGCGTCATCGCTCTGCGGGGTCGGTGTTCCACCTGACCTGCACGTACATGTTCAGGTCACCTCGTAGGGTTCCAGAGCGGTTTGCAGTCCCTGAAGCATCAGTAACTCAGCAGGCTGGAGCTGCTGTGGTTTCAGAGGAAAACGGAAGGCTCCGCCTCCCATTCTAATTTTAAATACTTTAGGACCAACAAGCCTGCAGTGTGAGAGCGAAGTGCTCTGATTGGATAACACGGTCCTAAATGCTCCTCCCACCTGCTACAGTCCAAACGTCGTGGGCTTCAGTGAAGCTGTGCACTGAGCATGTGCAGACTGTGAGAAATCTGCTGCATGTGGAAACGATCGTCTCCGGTTTCTCTCACTGACTCTGCTGCATGTCTCTCTCTCTCTCTGACTGTGTGCGTTAACCTCGCTCGCCCGGCTCTGCAGCCAGCGGAGGCTCGTCTCTCTTAAACCTGGACTTCTTTGGTCCTGTGGAGGACTCAGGCTCCAGCAGCTCACCCTCCATCCCAGGTCAGCTCCAGCATCCTCCTCTTTTGAATTAACCTCCATCTGCTCCTCTCACTCACCGCACTCTCGTGCTTCCTGACCGGGTCACATGACCATCCCGAGGTTTGATCCTGGTGTTAATTTTAATGTCATTTTAGTCACATGACTGCTTCCCAGCTCAGATTTTTAAAATCATGAATGATGTCCTGACTGATGCTGGTGTGTGGGGCGGTCGGCACAGGAAGGTCGGTATGAGGTCATGTGACTGTCCCGCAGGCAGCAGAAAGCGAGGCGGGTCCGCCGGGTGCTCACCATTTAAGCACACGCTGATCTCAGAACGGATCGCTGCGGCGGACACGCCTCACAGCTGCTCCACTCCTTCAGTTTCTCTTTTAATCACGCCAAGCACGACCGTTTTTGTGCGGGTGCGAACCTCCGAGGAGGAAGCTCCCGGCTCGCCTCCTCCGAGTTTCTCACTGTTGGATTGTTGGTGAAGTTTAAGCTCCGCCTCCCTGATCTTTCTTCTGCATTTCAGGCGTCGACCCCGAGCTATTCGAACTGACCACCGCCAAGCTGGACTCCGGCAGCTCCGGGAGCCGCATGGCCGACGCCTTCGCCCGCCTGATGTCCACCGTGGAGAAGACCAGCACCTCCACCAGGTCAGAGGTCAAAGCGCTTCTGGTTTGTCCCCAATTTCCTGTGAAAGCATGAAATCAGGATCGGCTGCAGGTGGAACTCCTGAGGAATGACCTCACAGCTGACGCTCAACTATGATTGGCTATGGCTAAATATAAGTGGGATAACAATTCAAAGTACTGTGGTGAATTTTGGCGTGAATCTGTGAGCGCTACGGCGTGGATCCACATTCAGCAGACGTCCACCTGACAGCTCAGGCCTGTAAGTGATGGTGAGCCAGAAATGATCACAGCGAGAAGGCAAACATAGAGTTTACCCAGAATGCACTTGGTGA